TTTTTTTTTTTTTTTTTTTTTTTTTTTTTTTTTTTTTTTTTTTTTTTTTTTTTTTTTTTTTTTTTTTTTTTTTTCATCATAGTTCATATCTTAAAATACTATTATGGTTCATGTACTTTGGATTTCTTCCCCTTATAGTCCTTGTACTTTCAAATCTTAAAATCTAGGCCTTATAATTTCAATAAAACTTTAAATTACTCTCTATTGTTGATTTGAAACTAATTTTTAACGAACTTAATAAAATAATAACAATATTTTTCATTCAAGAAAAATATACAATGTGGATATGTTTCCAAAAATTATAGAGGGGAGGCTAATAAAAATTACATTACTTTTTAATAAGTTAATAATAAACTATCTGTTAGGAACTAATATTAAGATTTATTAAAAATAGAAGAACCAAATTTGGACATTTGGACATGCATAAACTAAAATAAAATGAGACCCAAAGTACATGGACCAAAATGATATTTTAATCTAGGTCATATTACACATCATAACTTTTAAAAGGCTCTTTCCCAAGGGCAAGGTTTTTTATTTTCCCAAATTCAGATGATTTAGTTTGGTGGTGATATGTTTCTATTGTTTTGATTTTGGTCCTATGCCCCACTTTCTTAATATCTAAATTCTTTTCGGTTGACCTACTAGTCAGTCATGTTTTTTTCTTTTTTGTGTGGTAGTAATGGCCTTTTACTTCTGTTTATTTGGTACTTTTTTGAATGAGTAATAAGTTAAAATATTATCCTTACACCAGGAAATATCTAATGTATTGACCTTTTTCGGCAGATTCTGATGATCCGTTGAAGACAACAGATCAAACCAGACGTCTTGGTCTTATTGTATGATTCTTACTATCTACATATTTTAGTTATCGTTTAAAATAAGGCATCTATGGTTAGAGCCTTGGATGCCATAACAGATTTATTATTTTTCTGCAGAGTATTATTATTTAAGCATGCAGCTTTGGACTTTATTTTGACAATTGCAATTATCTGTGCGCTAAACAGATTAGATGGTCTTAATCACCGGACACAGGCCTATATGTTCTAGCCGAGCATGTTTCTATCATTTGAATATTTGTATATTCTTGTGCATTGTGCAACCATTCGTCTCAGCTATCACTTGC